CTGGCAGGTCCTGGGGGCATTGGTGGCGCCGCCACTGTCCCCACCCCAGGGTACCCCCACGGCATGTGCCCTCCCCAGGCGTGGGCTGCAGGAACCAGGAGGAGAAGCTGCTCCAGGACCTCATGACCAACTACAACCGGCACCTGCGCCCGGTCCCGCATGGGGACCAGATCATCGATGTCACCCTCAAGCTCACCCTCACCAACCTCATCTCCCTGGTGAGAGACCCCCCCTGGTCCCCATAGCGGGATGGGATTTGCCCCTACACGTGGGGCAGCAGGCAGAGGTGGGCAGGGCACTAAAGCCATCTCCCCCCTTCCTTCCTTGCCAGAACGAGCGGGAGGAGACCCTCACCACCAACGTCTGGATCGAGATGGTGAGACCCCTCATTTCCTGGCAGGACCCTCCATGGGCCACGTTTGCATCTCAGGGTGGCACCCTGTGGAGGGCTGGCACCGTAACCTGCACCCCCTTTTGTGGGTGCTCCCAACTGAGCCCAGTTTGGGAGCAGCACGGGACAGAGAGCTCACAAGCTCCCCTGCCTCGGGGAGCACCGTGACCCTCCCTCTTTGTTCCCCTTCCCCCAGCAATGGTCCGATTATCGCCTGCAGTGGGACCCCAAGAAATATGACAACATCCAGCTGCTGCGGGTGCCCTCCACCATGGTCTGGCTGCCTGACATCGTCCTGGAGAACAAGTAGGTGATGGGGCAATGGGGACTTATGCCCGCACAGGGGGTGGCAGCTGCCCCCCGGGCACGGTTTGGGGCTGAGCCCACCCTTTCCCCCCCAGCATCGATGGGACGTTCGAAATCACCCTCTACACCAACGTGCTGGTGTCCCCTGACGGCAGCATCTACTGGCTGCCCCCAGCCATCTACCGCAGCGCCTGTGCCATCCACGTCACCTATTTCCCCTTCGACTGGCAGAACTGCACCATGGTCTTCCAGTGAGCAGCGGTTTGGGCACACGTGGGCACCATGGCCAGGGCCATCCGGCAGGTCCTGCTGGGACACAAGGGATTGACATGGAATGTCCACTTTTGCCCCAGGGCAATGAGCCCCTGGGCAGACAAGTGCCACTTACCTGTCCCCTGGCACCCCACTGGTGGCAGGAGGCACCTTGGCCAAGCCAAGCACCCCAAAGCAGAGCTGGAGGTGGCCAGCGTGACCCGGTGCCACACTGGCACCCTTGGCCCATCCAGCCCACTGCATGCCAGCCTGTGCCACCCCCCTCGTCCCTCCCCAGGTCCCAGACGTACAGCGCCAATGAAATCAACCTGCTGCTGACAGTGGAGGAAGGCCAGACCGTGGAGTGGATCTCCATCGACCCCGAGGCTTTCACAGGTAACACCGCAGCCACCCTCGTGGCACAAGAGCATCCCGCCACGGGGAGCACCCAAGTCTGGTGCTACGTCAGTGGCTGCCAAAAGCAGGGCTGCAGGGGCTATTAGCAACTCCTGCCATTACATGGGCACTTAAGTTATTAGTGGAAGCAGGAGTGTGGGAAAGATTTGTTTTTCTAACCCCCCCAGCTCGGGGCCCTCACCGCCTGGCAGCCGCTCCTGGAGAGCACCGCTCCTGGGAACTTGATTGATGCTGGGAACGTATCTGTCACGGCCAAACGATGACGTTTTCCATCACATTTTAATTGCATATTGAAGGAACAAAATGCTTTTCGGGCAGCGAGATTTATTTTTTCATTACTGGCCCGAGCTGCGATCTTGATTGGGAAAAATCTATCGCTCCTGCAGACAGCGGGGGAAAACGGCATGCTGTCACCCAGTGTCACGCTCGGCTTCCCCCCATGCCACCCCGGGGGCAGGGAGATGGGGGCACCCCAGCCCCACACGTGACGCCCTGGGAGCCCCCGAGGTGTCCCGTATGTTCCCAGCTGCCCCCTCCAACAGCTTTTTGGGGTATTTTGCCCAGGCACCCTGGCACACTCTGTGGTGCTCATCTCCCTCCCCAGCAGCTCTAGCACCTTTCCCCGCACCGTGCCCAGCCTGGGTGCCCCGCGCGGCCCACACTGATCAGCAGCCCTCTCCTTCCTCCCCTCCCCGGGCTGGGGGGCTGGCAGCCCCAGTGCCCCTGGCGGGGCAGTGGGACTCAGGTGGTACCGCTGCATGGCAGAGAATGGCGAATGGGTCATCAAGCACCGCCCCGCTCGGAAGATCATCAATTCAGAGCACTTCACCCCAGATGACATCCAGTACCAGCAGGTCGTCTTCTACCTCATCATCCAGCGCAAGCCGCTCTTCTACATCATCAACATCATCGTGCCCTGCGTCCTCATCTCTGCCATGGCTGTGCTGGTCTACTTTCTGCCCGCCAAAGGTATGCACTGGTGCCGTGCCCACAGTGGGCACAAGGATGTGTGAGGGGGCAAGCGACAGGCGAGGAAGGGCTCATTGTCCTTTCTGTGCTTGGGGACCATCAGTGCCATCTCTCACCCACTCCTGTGATATTTGGAGGTGTGTGTGAATTTCCAGGTACCCCACAATTAAAGCCTCATGGCAGGACTTGGCCAGTTCAGCTTTGGGGTGGGGGCTTTTTGCCAAAGGAGGGCAATGCCCACACCACTGCCCCATGCCAACCTCTGCCTTCCCCCCTCCTTGGCAGCGGGTGGGCAGAAATGCACCGTCTCCATCAATGTCCTCCTGGCCCAGACCGTCTTCCTCTTCCTCATTGCCCAGAAGGTGCCTGAGACCTCCCAGGCTGTGCCTCTCATCGGGAAGTAAGTGATGCACAGGGATGGGGGTGCCAGCCCTGCTGTCACACTGTGCCAGCGGGGTTGCCGGGTGCTGTGCAGCAGCCCGGGCCCCGGGGCAAGACCCGGGT